TGAACTCCTGATCTCAGGCGATCCACCCGCCTCAGCCTCCCAAAGTGCTGGGATTACAGGTGTGAGTCACTGTGCCTGCCCTATTTCCTCTTTTTAAAAATTGCTCTTATCATTGTCATTCTCAAACTATTATCTCATAAATGTTACATTGCCTATATCAGATTTTCAGTGTGGGCTATGGTTTTTAAATAATAGATGGTATTTGGACATATATAAGATATAAATGCTTTTCAAAATGTCTCTTTGTCCATTTTTCTGAAAAGCTTGACAACTATCTATAGAGCTTTTGCAGAAGACTTTTTTCTTCCCTTATTTTTCATCTTTTTTAAAATTAGTGACTAATTTTATTTTGCTTGGTCAGACAAGTAGGCCTTTGATTTACAACAACTGCATTCCCATGGAACACACACACACACACACACACACACACAGAGTTTCATTTTCTGCCTTTATAATTCTTTTTTTTAAATGATGAAGTAAGAAGACATAGTTTATTAGTCTAAGGATTTTGGAATCATTCAGGTCTTTTAAACTAACATGATGCAGTTATAGAGTGGTTTTGTTATAGATCTTATTAGCATAAGTTTGCCTAGCTCTGGCTTTAATAATTGTATTTTAACAATTATTAGCCTATATATAATATTTCCTTTCCTTGGCTTCTCCACTTTATTCCCAAATTCAGAAAATTATTGATGTGAATTCTTCAACCACTGGTAATATATTTGAGCTTAATTCCAGTTGTTTCAAATGTTCTTTAATATTTTATTGTTAGAAAAATGTCATGATGGGAATCTACTGATACATAGGAAGATGTCTATACTTGAGTTCAGCAGTACTCCAGAGCTAATATTACCAAGATTTTATGAGGGAAAATATATGTTTGCAGGAAAATAAAAATTAACAGCAACCAAGAGTTGGTTCTCAAATATATGACCATTAGTTTCTTTCTTTGTTTCTCTTTCCCTAAAATATAAGAACAAGGCAATAACAAATATAAAGAAAAAACATAGCTACATTACAGTTAGATTCCAACAATTAACTTATAATGTGTCTGCTTCATATAAAAATGCTAAAATACGTAAGTGCTCAAGAAAACTTTTCATTCTGAAGATGACCAGGAATTTTTGTTTGCCAGCTCAACTGACACTGAAAACCTAAATTTGCCTGTTATTCTCCATGCTCCCTTGTAACCTAATAACCACCCAAACCACCAAAATGGTGGCCTCTAACAAGGTTGGGTTCTGGTACTGCTGGCTCCTTTTTCTACAGCCCATATGTTTATATGCTGATAGGTACAAATACATGTAAGATTCTTTGAAGCCAAACATAAGTTCACTTGGGCTGTAACACAGCAGTGACCCTTGAAATGCAAGTACCAAACTCCACATTCTTTTAGTTTCATACAAAACATTTCATGCTTCATAGGAAACAATTAACCGTATCTATTAAAAGAACCCAAATGAGAAAATGTCTAACTAAATCTATCACTCGTTTTATCTATAAGCCCAGAAAAAAAATTTAGCTTCCTCTTGCCTCAGTTCATCTACATTCGTTCCTGAATGGATACACTGGGGCAGGGAGTAAGTCATTTCCTAGTCTTGTTTCCACACACACTTGAGTTCTTCTCCCAGAGCAACAAGAATAATAGTCCAATTTTACCACAATACCACTTCTGAGAGAATCAACTAAAGGAACAAGGTGTCACTTCAGCCACTGTGTCTCTAAAAGTTTCTTTCAGGGATGAAACCTTAATTTATTTTTCCACTGTCTTTCTCTTTTTCCTAAAATATTAAGTATAAACCAGGTTGGATAAATAATTGGCATTCAGTAGATAACCTTATTATTATCTCTTTAATCCATAAAGATCTTTCTTAACTTTTTTTTTAAGACATGGTCTTGGTGACAGAGCTAGAGTGCAGCGGCACTCCATACAAACATGATTCACTGAAGCCTTGGTCTCCTGGGATCAAGCCATCCTCTACCCTCAGCTCCCCAGTAGCTGGGACCACAGGTGTGTGCTACTGCACCCAGCTAATTTTTAAAATCTTTTCTGTAGAGACAGGGTTTCAAAATGTTGCCCTGGCTGATCTCAAACTCCTGGGCTCAAGCAATCCTCCCACCTCAGCCCCCAAAAGTGCTAGGAGTACAGGCACGAGGTGTCACACCCAATCTTAAAAATCTTTTCAAGATAATGTTTTATTAATAATTGAGACGTTTTGAACAAAGGTCATTAATATTAAAAACTTTTGTAGATCATTTAGTGTTAAAAGTTTCTGCTACTGTGAACATATACTATTAAATAGTTTTATCATGTAGTGTCCACCCTAAATCTTTTTGGTGAATAGATGGTTAAAAATAAATTATGTCAACTTAAAAATTTTAGTCTCCTAGATTTTGATTTAAAAATATTCTTTTCTAACATCCAGGAAAATTACAGTGTGTTGATACTGAAAATGTACACATCTCCTGTAACCTTGAAACCAATTACATAACAAGTTATTGCTTGCTTCTTTTTCTCCTATATTTCTCCCAGGACATCACAACCACTTCTTGAAAAGCTATTAACTCTTAAAAGCTGAGTTTCACATTCTTACCTGGTACCCTCTTTGCCCAGTTGATCATGTGAACCAGCTCCCTGTCTGCCAGGTTGGTCAGTAAGCCCATCATCGAAGCCTCACTGAAGGGTCTGGTAGGATCGTACTCGGAATAGATTATGGGGGGCTCAGCATCCAACAAGGCACTGACCATCTGGTCGGCCGTCAGGGACAAGGCTGGGCTGTTCTTCTTAGAGTGTTTGATCATGAGCGGGCTTGGCCAAAGGTTGGCAGCTCTCATGTCTCCAGTGGACCCCACTTCATTCCTGCCCTCCCCATCATCTCTCTGGCGCTTGTGTTTCAACATTCTCCCTCCTCTTCGGTCTTTTCGTATCCCTAAAAACACAGGGGGAAAACAACCAATTAGTTTACTTTTTTCCCATGTAAACTTTTATACAAAACAATCTTCAAAGCTAACCATCTTTCATTATATTTGAATAAATACTCTTAAGCAAGGTGAGCTGGTAAGTGTTTCACAAGTGTCTCTCCAAGAGAAAAAGAAAAAGACTTTGATTTGTAGCAGTGGCCAGTGTTCATGGTGTAAATGCTGCCACCATCACAAATTTCAGGCCACTTGTCTGACATCAAGTGGCTTACCAAAATTGAACAGTAGGTGCTCGTGAGCCCAAACAAACTGACTCTGACACACCAGGTAGGGTTGTGTGTGTGTAACAGGTGTTATAACAAGAACAGAATTCTAATTAGTTATTCTTAAAATATGGTTTAGCATCAAAGACTACTTCTGCTAGTAATATTCTTTTAATAGTAAATTAAAAGGGAGTTTTTAAAACTATGTAGTCCAAGTAGACTTATTCATGGGCAAGAATAATTAAGAATGACTTGCTCATACGGTATATTTGAACAAACGTGTGACTGAAATATATATATATATATATATATATATATATATGTTATATATGTGTTTTTATATATAAATACATAATATATTAAATGACACTTTAAAAACATAGCGACACCATGAACTCTTCCCATTTGCTCAGTATTAAAATAAACCTTTCCCATGTAATAGTAAAAATTATAATAAAGATTATTATTACTAATATGCATTCAGCACTTACTACATATTTTAAGCATTTACATACACAGAAGCACTTTAGAACTAATTTAGTTCTTACAATAATCTTGTTAAGTTTGAGAAACCATTAGTGAAACTAACCAACTTGTACAAGATCATTCTCTATTAAGTATGATTCCATATTCCGGCTCTGAAAAGAAGTTTGCTTTAACAAGTTTCAGGACATTGTCTAGGTACTAACTTAACAAATTGAAGGACACCTAAAAGTAAAAGATGAGAACAGTGGCATCTGACCAGCCATTGTCCCTGGTCAGGCATTTCAACTTTCATTGCCAGATTTGCCAATGAGGTTATAATATCTGAATTAAGAGAGATGATGTTTCCACCATAATCTCAAGTCATCAGAGCACACCTGATGTATCACACTCATTGCTGGATCTGAAAATATAAGAAAAATCAGTCTATTCAAGTTACAGTAACTAGAAGCATAAGGAGACATGAAATCAGGTCATATAGTGAGCAAGTGAGGAACAAAGAAGGGTTAGCCTAGAGAAAGGAAAACACGGAGGAAGCAGGAGCACTGCCCTTAGATGGGTTGTTCTGCGTAAGACGGTTCAACTTGTTCTTTTTGAGGCTAAAATAGAAGCAGGGTGTGGAAACGTTTTAGTTAGTTACAGCTCAATGTAAAGAAGCAGTTTGTAACACTCAGAGCTAACAACAAAGATAGAAACTGCCATCATAGGAAATGATGAGGTGGATCGCTGTGGGTTTCCAAGAATAGTCTAGATGAGGACTTTCAAGGGATGTTCCCAAAGGGATTCCATTATCCAGAAAGCGTTTGCACTAGCTGACCTCCAGTAGACCCTCCAATGCTGAGATTGTACTGTATGACTTTACCATCTTCTATTTGAAATGTTAAAAAAAAAAAAAAGTAAGAGCAGGAGACTTATGGTAGAAATCAGGGAAAATATGTCAAAAGCAAAGAATTTTTTTAGATTCAGATTTCTCAGGAAATTCTGAGATCAGAGTTTTGAGAAGATGAGCTCTAACTTGTATTTACCAGCTTTGGGTGAGGACTAGGGTAAGAAAATGCCTGGTTCTTTGATATTAGTCAGTGTATTACCCAAATACTATTTATAATTCTACTCCACAAGTTTAGAAAGAAATTAAGAATGTGCTCAAGTCTTACAGGAAAGATGCAGCAGTGATTACAATCTTTTAATAGCAAATCTACATAAAGAAATAAAAGCAAGTGATTTGATTTAAAAAGAAATGATTAGAAGGTGATACTGTTTTTCCTAAGGTGAAATCAAGAGTTGCCAAATTATAACTACACACTGTATTTTACCTTTTAAAAATAAAGTATTAAAAAAAAAAAACTCCTTCCATAAATGTAATTTATCTTCCTTTAAAAAGATTCCAAAGATAAAGAAAACCACATAGGTTAATGAAACAAAACAAAATGAAGTATTACCACGCACTTTAAAAGGCTTTAGCAGTCATACTAAAGATAAGCTGATTTCCAACAGAAGAATTTTAGAATCAATTCAAAAATTGATATTGGTGGTTACCAAAAATATTATATCAAAGTATTTGTTCATTTAGTAAAACTCCATTCAATACTTACAATGTATATTCATGGAAGGTGCAGTGGTAAACAAATACAGATCATGTTACCCTCTATCAAGTTTTCAGCTTGGAGGGAGGAAGGCATTGATCAAAATTTATTCAGTACTTGTTGATAGAATTAATGAACGAATGAACTGCTGAAAGCACAATGGATGGGAGGAAGTGACTGTGGAAGAAGGAGACAAAGAAAACTTCTCTAAAAAGGATGTTACATTTAAATCAAATCATGATATGTCCCTTCTTGGAGGAATTTAGGAGTAGATTACTTAGATGGCTTAGTTGTAGTACTATGTAAAGAAGTAAGTTGAACCACCACACCCATTTACATCTCACAACTGTGTGTCTCAAGTTGTTCAACACAAGACACACAGGTTTGGGCTTTGGAACAACAAAATACAACTGAAAAGATGAGGAAACAGTTGACTATTTATAAAATCATCAAACAATCAAGTAAGTGAAAATAGATTCACTTAGCACTAACAAATATTTTCTTTAATATACTGATATGGTTTGGCTGTGTCCCCATCCAAACCTCATCTTGAATTTACCTACTTTAAATGGGGACTGTGGTAAGAAAATGCCTGGTTCTTCAGTATTAATCAGTGATTTATCCAAATACTATTTACACCTCTACTCTATAAATTTAGAAAGAAATTAAGAATGTGCTCAAGCCTTACTTGAAAGATGCAGCATAATCCCAACACGTTGTGGGAGGGACCCAGTGGGAGGTAATTGAATCATGGAGGCAGGTTTTTCCTGCGCTGTTCTCACGATAGTGAATAAGTCTCATGAGATCTGATGGTTTCATAAAGAGCAGTTCCCTTGCACATGCTCTCCTGCCTGCCGCCATGTAAGACGAACCCTTGCTTCTCCTTCACCTTCTGCCGTGATTGTGAGGCCTCCCCAGCCATGAGGAACTGTGAGCTCATTAAACCTATTTTTCTTTATAAATTACCCCGTCTCAGGTATTTCTTTATAGCAGTATGAAAATGGACTAATACATATACCCTAAATGTACTATACTTTTCGAATTCCAAATTCCCTACAAAATATACAAACAAAACAAAAACAAAAAATTATACATATTATATGGCCAACTGCATGTGATAGGATCCCAAGGGAATGGTTCAATGAAGAATGGATCATCTTCTACATGGGAGTAGTAATTTCACATATTATTGGTCATAAGATTGCAGGCATTTTACAGAAGTTCAAAAATATCTAACTAGAATTGAGTGGAAGAAGGTAAAAAAAGATCTGATTTCTATTTCAATTTTACCATAGGTCAAGTGAAAGCTACAGATCAGAAACAACAGGCTGTGTCACTATGGAACATATGGCTTACACTTAATTACACAGAGCAGTGGACCACAGGAGTGGCACGGATAATTGAAATTTAAAGATAGAGTTTGAAACTCATTCCCTGCTTCCTACCAAGACATTTTCTTGAATTGTCAGTAGAGCAGCAACATAGAGTAATATGGAATTTACTTAAGTTCATTCCCCAACTGCCTACCTTTGGCAACTCTCAGGGAAAAGTCAAAAGGCCAAACTACCAGTTCATAAGGCAGAAGGGAAACAAAAGAAACAGTTAGTTTAGGCCATGCAAATATTTTTGACAATCAAGAAGTTTATTTGCAGCAAACAACATGTTGGCTTGGAATGCCATACACACAAGGTACATTGCCATTCATACACAAGCATGCCCTTTTCCAGAATGGTTGAGCGATATATTCAACAGCACAATACAGGTGTTATGCCCTGGATAGCTGCTACTGTACATTCTCATTATCTCTCAAGTTATGTAACTGACTAGACAATATTTGCATCAAAGCAAATTTCTTTGTACCTTTTTAAAATTTTAACCTTAACAATTATTGAAGGATTTTTCTTTTTTAAAAAATTTATTTATTATACTTTAAGTTCTGGGGTGCATGTGCAGAACATGCAGGCTTGTTACATAGGTATACACATGCCATGGTGGTTTGCTGCATCCATCACCCTGTCATCTACATTAGGTATTTCTCCTAAGAAGGATTTTTCTAACAAGACCCACCTGTTTTATATAAGGGATTGAGATACCAAGCTCTCTTTCATCCTGTGGGCCCACTGTAAGTATGAAATGCCACCACCAGTTTGAATTTCAATTCCTTAGGTTAAAGCAACTCTAAATCCTCATCACATTGTTGTAAGGATTTAAAAAGGCTGAGTATACAATTTCCACTTAGTAGCAATCCATGTGGATTTGGATGATTCTAATCCACCCTAGGAAGTGCTAACTTAAGGGAATTCATTAAAGCAATAAACACAGGCAATAGGAATGAGGAAAGCGAGAGATGGTACGAAGGGCACTCTCTAGGGAAGGTGAGGCCTAAGGAGTCTCTTCAAAGTCACTTGGGAGCTAGGTGGAAAAGCAGTACGGGGGACAACTTGTGGCAAGGAGAAAGGAGCTAAAGACATAGCTGCTTAAACAATTATATCCTGGCCCTAAAATAAAAAGATCTGTCCTAATGAGTCAAATGCCTAATGAGGCATTTTCAAAGACTACCTCTAATTACTTCACAATTTGTTTAATCATCTGTTGTTTTTTTTTTTTTTCCTTCTTTAAATTCTTTGGCTTGGCTATTGCATCTCAGAAAAAGTTAACATATTGCCTTAATATTCATTAGTG